TACACTTTCCCTATGTAAAAGGATAAATTGGCTCTTTTAAAAATTCTGACTGTAGGCACAGGGGACACCAAGCTGCAAACTGCATAGTCTGATGTTTTATTGAGGAAGTCAAGGTTTGAATAATCAGAAGTGCAGGACTTCAATAAACAAGCTGTGTCTATGGAAGTGCCATTGTATTTTCGCCCCCAGATGGGTTTTGATGGTTGTGTGCAAAAATTTGACTAATGAGTAGGGAAGTGGTTGATAGAAATACTTTTCTATTATCTGAGCCTTACGCATGTTCTAGCCAGGACTGCCCACTAGCTGCAGAAGAACCTCCTCTGTAATATTTTTGCCAATATTTGTCCTTGTAGTTGTCGGATATTTCGCCAATCGGGCGGGACCCATCAGTGTCCAGTTTCAGCAGCGCTACCCTCACACCTTCATCTACCTGCCCTTCTCTGGTGGATTCAAGGTGCAATTCAATTGATCAGAAGTAAGTATAGAGTGTTAATAGAAAAACATTACTTCTCAGTACTTCACAAATATCTTTGCTCTGTTTTCTGATTCCCCCCCCCTTTCTTTATTTTCCCTACTTTCAGATTTTTCTCTGTACAGCCCCTTTGCCTTATCTTCTCCAATCACTCTGCACAATTATTTTTCCCCATTTTGTTCTTTTGAATGTTTTTTCTTTGTGCTGAAAGAACAGTCAAATGCTTGTCATTCCAGTGACCAGTACATCTTCAGTGTGTAGAATCCCCATTTTTTTTCACAGATCTGCTAAAAAGACCTACTAACAACAACCAAGAATAAACCAGTTTGGCCAGTAATATCTGTTTGTCTTTCTCAGCTGTATCTATAGAAGATATTTTTTATGAAATTGGGAATAACTACTTAGTGAAAGTTATATAATTTTTACCTTCTCAGTTTGATATCCCTGAGAGGAGGAGTGCTGACAAAAAGTAGTAGTTTCTACATCAAACCATAGTAAGACATGTCTCTGTGTTGGGACTGTATTTGGTAAGAGAAATGAGGGAGAAGTAGTGGGGAAACAACTTACTAGCAGTTATTGTAAGTTTTATTTCACAGATTTCAAGGGAGATGCTGTTTGATATTGTACAAAAGGATCCTGATGTCATACAAAAAAATCTGGGCTGGAGGATGAAACTTGTAAGACAGGCTAGGCTGCAGATGCACTTTATGTCCCATTGTTGGGTTCAGTTGGTTTGCAGTGATTTACATTTCTTTCTCTGCTTTTTTTTTTTAAAGGACACCAGAAGCAAATTCTCGTGCCTCCAGTCCCTGTCATGAGGTGGAACAGTTTCAGCTAATTCCTACAGTAGAAACTTCCTATCTTGCCAGAGCTGGAAAGAATGAATTCCTAAACCTTGTTCCTGATATTGAGGAAATCAGACCAGGGTAGGTTTTCTGTGTAATGTGATCATTGCTTCCCGAGAGCTGTCACAAGGGTTTTCTGAGATTTGTAGTTTCTTTGCCGTTTTTGAAGAAGGTAAATTAAACAGGTGATAGCATAATTGCAGAGTTCGGTATGATGGAGGCAGGATTGATGTTTGATCTCTGCAGCATTCATTCCCTGCATCTATTTAGTGAAGTAGATTTCCAGTGACTTAAATAAAATGTTTCTTATCATGAAAAGCCGTTCACTGAAGCAGAGATCTTTCTGGGTCCTTTCTTGCCAGAATTTTGCATAGTTCTTGAAGACAAAATTTAGCTTGCTATAGAACCTTTTCATAATACTGTTGCAGACAAACTGTATTAAGGACCATGTGTCTTATACAGAGCTTTGCAGTTAATAGGGATACTTAGTAGATACCTTATTTAGGGGAAAATGTATTCCTGTTTATCTGTGAGTTTATTTTGGTTTGGTTTTTTTTCCAGCTCTGTGGTCTCAAAGAAAGGATACCTCCACTTCAAGGAGCCACTCTCCACCTCCTGGGCCAAGCACTTTGTGGTGGTTCGCCGTCCTTATGTTTTTATTTACAACAGTGACAAAGATCCTGTAGAAAGAGGAATCATAAACTTATCCACAGCTCAGGTGGAATACAGTGAGGATCAACAGGCAATGGTGAAGGTCAGTCTGAGAGCTATTGTTTATTTACCCACAGAGCAGGAACATTGTAGGTAGTAGTGTATCCATAGTAATCCTGTGTGTCATCCCTGGTGTGAGGAAAGTGCAACTGTGTTTTGGAGAAATATCTGGCATCTGATGATTCTGCCCACAAAGTTCCCAGTTTGTTTAGGATTTCTTACCTTTTGGACACAGTTCTATGAGAGACTGAAACCATCTGCTGTTATGCATTGTATTTGCTTTTATGCACATGTGTTGATACCATAACTTTCTGTATTTGGTTTTTGTCCTTTGTGTGGTGTTTTGGGGTCGTGTGTTTTGTTAGTTTGTTAAAAAAAATCAAACCAAAACAACACACACAAATGTGTTTTAGGAATCTGACATAGCAAACTTTTCCTCAGAGAGGAAGCGTGCATCAGCTTCTGTGCTTGTAGACTTGAGTAATTAAAATTGTCCTTAATATTCCAGACACCCAACACATTTGGTGTATGCACAAAGCATCGTGGGGTCCTGCTCCAGGCCATCAACGACAAAGACATGAATGACTGGTTATATGCCTTCAATCCACTTCTTGCTGGCACAATACGGTAAGAGGCGGTTCCTGGGCAGACAGTGCTGCAGAGCATAGCTAGTGAGATAGTCATGAGCAAGTAGGCCGGTAGTTTGTCACAGAATTTAATCTTGTTCTGAAGAATTTGACAAGATGGGTGAACTGAAGGAGGGAGGAGGGTGGGCAGCAGCAACAAAAACATTAAACCAGCCCTGTATTTCTAGAAGTGCAGTGGCTGTTGCTTTGATTTCTGACATTTTTAACAGATGTTTCCAGTTTGAACATGTGTGTTATGCTTCATGCAGTACTACATTTGGAGGCCACAAAATGGTTTCCTTGTATAGCTCTTTTACAAAAACTTCCCACTGCCTCTGCACAGGCGGGTCTGGGCTCCCTTTTCATTCTTTTGATTATGAGCCAAAGCAGAAATTCTTGTTTCCTTCCCTTTTTTTAACTTCTCTAGAAGCCTTCCCTTTAATGCAGGTCACATCTCCTGCTTGCTAGAGAGATCTTACTACTTTACAGTAGCTCTTCCTTTTAGTAGAAAAAAATAATTAAAAACTAAAGTACAGTGTCAAATAATTTAACAGTGCAGTCTTTAAAAGATCTCATTTTCCTTTAAAGGAGCACAGCAGAAGAGTGATAAATCGTTCTTATTATAGCCCTTGATACATTTTACTTTCTAAAGATATGCAGTAAACTAGGACTATACGAAAGGATGTTTAAAACAGTGGACAAACTGTGGGGAGGGAAGAAAAGTAAACTTCCAGAACTCAACAAATACTTTTTTTACTTCTTTCTTGCACAGGTCAAAACTGGCTCGAAGACGCACGGGCCAGCTGAAGTACTGAGTCCATGTAATGTTCTCATCTGTTCTCCCTAACTTACCTTCTGGTAGATGAAGTGTTACCTCTCATTTTCTCTTTGTGATTCTTGACAGTTTCTCTTGTATGTAATCCTGTGGCTTAACATCCTCTACCTTCCCAACTCCTTCAGCACATTTTCTAGGTATTCTAACCCTACCTTGTTTCTTTTCACTTGTGCTGAGAATCCTACTAGTAGCATGTGGCCAAACAAAAAGATAAAGAAAAAAAAAATCAAAAAAATTGAGTGATTATGCACGACTAAAAAGAAAAAAAAAAAAGATTATTTATTTTTTCTTATAACAATTGTTTTCCCATTCCAACTGACCTTTTGATGTCTGTCCCACTGTCCATTGTTGTCTGTCTAGACTGCTGCAGGTTTTTCATTCAATTTGTGACTTGGCAGTAGTCATTGGTTCCCTCAGGGCAAAGTTCTAATGCCAGGGAAAGATAAATTCTGTGTAGACATTACCCAGCCAGGAACTGCAATAGCTCCTCAGGCTTTCTGGATCCAGCTGCTAGTTTAAACTCTGTTGAAAGCTGATATTGGACAAATCCATCTGGACAGACTGGATTTTTGACTTGGTGCAAGTTTTTGAGTTTCCAGAGTCCAACAGGCTAAGGCATGAGCTGGAAAAAAATAGAGAACAAACCAAGAGAGGCTGGTGGGAATAATCTGCCTTTAAGCTCTTGGTGTGGGGTTGCAGGTGAACAGTGCTTGGCTTTAACTCTCCCAGAACGTTAACACTCACTCCTCTGCCTCTGAACTCAGCTGAGGAGACAGAACTTGTGCTGATGTGAGGAAAAATAAACCACATCGCTGAAATACGAGATATAATCCCTAAAGTTTTAGATGCTTAGCCTTGTATTTGACAGATGGAGAGTGTTAAGGGGAAAACAGAAGTGTGTGGTTGTTCCCTGGAGCCCTTTCGGGAGGTACCACAGGAGGGCAGCATCTCCTCTTTCTGCTTTTAGTCCTGACTTCTCAGTTCCTGTGGCAACACTTCTCACCTCTCTTGGAAGAGATGGATGGTTGTCACTGGTGTGTTAGGATAGACTGCTCTACGGCATCATTCTGAAGGGCCTGCTTTATGCATGCGTCCCTTATCTGTAATACTCTGACAACATCCCATCTGTTCCTGGGGAAAGCATCTTCTGTCTACAAAATACTTTCAAGACGTTGCACTTGCAGTATTCTCCAGGGAACAGCACGACACTTTCACTTTCTTTTGGAATAGCTGTTGAATGTCTCCTAATTTCCCTGCTACAATTTTTATCAGCTAAAACCCCCTAGTTAGTTTGAACTTCAGAATTAGTCCTTCCTGGAGGACAGAGGATGCTGGTCCTGGTCAGTGGGGTGTGATAATTGGCTTTTTGGAGATCAGCTGGGTGGTGTTAGTTCTTGACCTACAATGTAAGTTCTCCTTGCGGCCAAAGTTTTGGTCCTTGCCCCAAGAAAGGAAAGCGGATTGAATTTCCTTTCTGAGAAGTGAACTCATCTTTCTTAGTTAGGTTTTCAGGGATGTTGTGGGGAGGGAGGGGTTTTTCTTTTACTATATTTCCGAATGCTGTGCTGTACTTTCTTGACTTACCTTGGGCATTGATTGATAGGGCTAGCTGTGATCCTGGGGAATATACAGGAGTTTCATCCTGAGGTTCCAACCTCTCAAGGGAGATGTAAAAGGGTTTTATTCCACTATTGCAGTAGGCACATCTAGGCACGCTCCAACTCAAGAAGGTCATTTTGATTCAGCTCACTCTTCAGCAGGTTGTGCTGTGAATTGGAAATTCTGTGGCCAAAAGTGTATGTGAGGCTGGCATCAGCTGAGCAATTTTTTAGCTTTGTGGGGTTTTCTTTCTTCAATAAAGTGCAATGCATAAGACATAAAGGCATGGTTGGCAAAGGAGCAGTGAGATGGAGTCTGACTCTTGCTAGGACATATCTTTATATATTTTGAGATAGTACTCAAGCTAAATCGTGCTCATGCTATCTCCTGTGGTCCTCAGATTTATTTCAGAACTGGAAGCCAGAGTGAGGGAGCGTCCTGGGGACCCAGGAGCATAATAGGGATGTGGTGGTGTTTTTTGTTTTTGTTTTTACCTTCTGGTTTTGTCTTGTTTAATTGTGTGTGATTCTTAATACAGTGATGATATTCCTTTGTTATGCAATGGATAATAATGCACTTCCAGTGTGTGGATAAGACTGCTAGTGCTGCAGGAGGGCTCTCCAAGCTGAACTAAGCTGATCTCAAGAATTAAGTTAATTTAAAGCACTAAATTGTTGCTGCCATCACCACAATTTATAATGAAAGTGGAACCAGTTTGAGGAAGGGTAGCAATTTAGGTGGTGGTAATTTGTGACACACTGAGAGCATTTTAATTTTTATCTTTTTACTTTTTTTAACTAGAAGAAAACTAGTTTGCTAAGTCTTTGCTTTGGATAAGCCAGAAAATGAACTAAAGGGATATAGGCATTGCACAGAAACATGATTAAGGGATCTTCCTTTAAAAGCAGGAAGAGACAGATGCTTATTTTATACACAGAGATGGAAGTATTACAGCTGTGTTGCGTAAATGTTACCCTTCTGTCTAAAAACTCCAAGCAGCTTCTGATGACTTGATGTGGATAACAGATCAGCAGAAAAGCAAAATTTTATTTTTAAGCTTCACTATCTCTTAAAGCTGCATAATCTGTGACAAAATAGATTTTGGTTTTGTGGAGTTCAAATGGGCATTACTGTTTTCAGGTCCAACATACAGTTACAGTTTTTCACCAGTGACTGAAGCCTAGTTTGAGAGGTCAGTTTCCCTACTTAAAACTGGACTGAAATCAAGTTTTCTATAAAAGAATAACAAAGCAAAAAAAAAATAATGTGGTCCTTTCACTTTAAGGCTTTTTTGATCTTGCCCAACATGTTAGAAATTGCTTTTTAGAAACAGCAAGAAGGGAAAAATGTGCTAAGCTGCCTTCTCTTGACATTGAAAAACCCACTTTTGGGTACCTGCTGTGTGTGTGTCAAGTCCTGGAGTCAGACAGCTCTTGGGACTTACCACTGCAGAGGAGGCATTGTGCTGTGGGCCTGCCAGCCCATTGAGCATAAGCACGAGTAGTGAACTTGATGGGCATTCCTTGGAGAGAATGAGCATGAAACTGTGCTGTAATTTGGGTTTTTCATGTTCCTCACTAAAAGGAAGGAGAGAATTATCTTTTTTTTTTGTCCATTGAAAACCATGTTGTTGGTGTTGGAGCTTCCTGGATATTTTGAAACTAAGCTAAACCTCCTATACTGTATTTTAGAAATGCACTTTAAGTACCTCCTTAAAGAAGATTCTTATATTCTGGGATGCAGAAGGGAAAGGAAGATATTTCCAGATCACTGAGAAAGGGTTTTTTTGGTCAGTGTCTAATAGTCCTTATTACTGATTAGCAAGGTATTTCAAAGCAAAGACTTTACTTTTTGCTGCTTGTTACCTAATTTACAGGGATTTAATTTTATGTAATGTATTGTATATTTATACATCTGTAATTAATTGCACATTAGATAAGAAAAAGGATTAGCTTTGGTCTTAACACCCATTGGTACTATACAATCAACTAATAACTGCCTATGCCTATGCATCTTTCTGGTACTCTTGCACAGCCTTAGTTTGTGTTAGTTTATACTGTGGTGGGTGTTTTTTATTGAAGATGCAGCTGTTAACCTGCTGCTCGAAGGAAGGATACTAATGCTGCTCTGGAACGGTTTGCTGAATGTACTTTAAAATGGGTCTCTAACACGTGTGCGTTGCATCTCTCCGTTGTGGTTAATAACCCCAATATGTGGTCTGAACTGTACTGTATGTAGCAGGAAT